CTCTATTTGATCTCCTCCTGAAGAGACTATGGGCAATTGATTGCTCCCATGCGCTCGACGCCTTCATCACATTTCTGCCTTCGCTCTTGACGAAATCGAGAGAACAGTTTCAGAGGGACCGCGAAAGCGGGGACGGATCCGATCAAGTCCACTCACCCATTCTCAGAACATCCCCGCTAGGTGCTTTCATTCGACGCTGCCATTTGGAATACACGAGGCTACAGTTTCAAGACAGCATCACTCTTTGGCAGGATTTCATTGCTTACAGACTGCCGACTCGCGAGGCATATGAGAAGAAGAACCATGGAGGGGGCAGAAACGCTCTTGACTCGAACCTTGCGGATTTGGACCTTGATTCGTCACATCCTCTAGCCATGCTGATGTATGGAAGACTAGCCGAGGACGATCAAAAGTATCACGGAGCATATAGTATGTACGATGTCGAGAAACTGATGGAATTTCAGGTCTCCGAGATCCAGCGTCTTGGTGGGAGATTACCTGACGGAATGAAACTGAAGCTTCAACAAATGGCCAAAGCTGGTACCGTCATACCAAAGCTGGGGAATTACCTCAGCTTTCTTGACTCGTGGCGAGCCGGTGATTACTACTCAGCCTTCGACAATCTGCACAGATACTTTGACTATGCAATGCAGACACGCGAGAGAGCAATATATCAGTACGCATTGCTCAACCTCGCCATTCTTCAAGCAGACTTTGGATGTCACGAAGAGGCACTTTCTGCGATGCAGGAAGCTATTGCCACCGCACGCGAAAACAAAGACAACACGTGCCTTAACTTCTGCATGAGCTGGGTGTATCACTTCGGACGCTCTTTTCCTGAGGAGGCGGACGCCATACGCGACAGCGGCATTCTCGGTAGCGAGGTGGAGGGACTGGCATTCCTGAAAGCACGGGCCAAGGAATCGGAGATGTGGAGTCTCTTGGGGACGACACTCTTGAGTGAAGCAAAACTTGGAATGCAGTACGGAGACAGCCTTGCAAGCGTGTTTGAAAACATTGCAAAGGCATCCTACCTCAATGTGGTGCGATCAACGCATAGCACCGTCGGGCCAATGTTGCTCATCAAAGGTGCGGCCTTTAGCAGGATTGGCCTTGGCCATCTTAGCTGGTGGTGTGGACAAGCATTCTTGCAGTGCCATTCCGAGGACGCTCCGCTCGAAGATCTATTCAAGCACTATTGCCGCATCGCCGGGCTCCTGGTCCAACGCGGCAGATACGCCGAAGCTGAACAAGTGCTCAACAATATTCCATCGCATGTGCATCGGCGGATGAAGTTTCAGAATGCCCTAAACTTCTGTTCTGGTTTGTTTAGGGCTCGAAGGCTGATACTTCGGGACAATCTCGATGCTGCAGAGCATTTGCTCGATCGACTGAGCGGACAAGGGGCACCAGATGTAAAGGTTGCACTTTTACTGTCCTTGCTCGAGATCGAGCTGCTTATCCGCCGGGGGGTTCTCGACCAGGCTCTTGAAAAGGTCGAAGACTTGGCGCAAGGTGCGGATAGGAACCATGAAATCAACGACATCGCCGTGCAGAACCGGCTATTGCTCCTCAAAGCACGAATCTTGATTGAGAGCCGACATCCGCTCAAGGCCTTCTCAATCGTTATGCGCGCAGCACAAATTGCGTTTAGGGGAAGAATCCTACACTCGTTATGGGCATCGATCTGTCTCCTTGCCTCAATTCTCAACCACCTCCGCGAGTTTCTCCCTGCTGCCGACCTTCTCCAGTCAATAATGCCTCAAGTGCTGGAATGCCATGATTGCGAACTCGCCGCCGAGTCATACTCCGTGCTCGCAGACGCAAATATGGGTCTAGCTGGCTCATCGTCAGGACCAGATAAGTCATCTTCGACAAAGCAAAAAGAGTTCATAAACAAAGCAATGGAGCATATCGACCATGCCTATGCGCAATATAGGTATATAGAAGATTTGCAGGGCCAGCTGGAGATGCTAAAGAAAAAGGCAACCATTATGCACTGGAGAGGAGACTGGGTGTTGGCGAATGACACCGCGACACAGTACCTGGGGCTTAAGAAGGAGTTCGAGGCTCAGAACGTCTGAAGGTTGCCCGTCAATTGCCGGGTCAACACTGAAATCCTCAAGTATTGAACTGTATGAAACAATGGGTTATGGTCTTGTTATGCCTCAGTCAGGTCACCACTTCACTTCCTCTGCATGCCTTATGTACAAATCAGGTCCACCTTGCTCAGACGAGCCTTTTGAAGCCAGCCCAGCGCACTTTGGTTTTCATATTTTTTTAGGTCTGCTTGTCCTTCCTGTGATAGTTGACCTTTTCGTTCCAGAAGAGAGTCTTGTCACCATCTCCCCACCAGAAGTTTCTAGTTCGAAGGTTTTGGTAAGGGTATTCAACGCGCTCTTCTAGAGGGGGCATGTGACTCCAATGCTCCCAATGCTCGTTCCAGAGGTTATAGGCGTTAATGCTTGCCAGGATTAGGCATGGGATGACGACGCTGTAAGGATGATTAGAAACCAAGTTTCTTGCTGCGTGGTGAAAATGGGGACTTCATACTAGATTGAGAGTCTACGCCAGAGGTCTGGATCACGTTAGCCTTCTTCCAGATGTGAAGGTGTGGTCAGAAGACATACCACTTGTAGCAGCAGCATGGGCTTTCACGGCAGCTCGTTCACGATTGAAGGCATTGTCGGCGGTTCCAACGAGTTTGCTTGTTCCCTGGCCTGGTGGGCTTGGGACACCACTGCTCGCGAGACGTCGCTGGAAGGTGGATCGGAAGAGGGGTCGAAAAGCAGGCGATCGTAGCTGCTGCTGCGCAAGGCGCAGGCCAATACGCTGGAAGGACATCTTGCACGATGAATGAGTGGAGAGGATGTTGTCGCTGGCAGTATGTTCAAAAGTGAAGAAGACAAGTGAGGTTCGGCGCAGGAGCTCTGCGGAAGCTTGGCACGGCCAATGACGATGGCCTGAGCCAAGCTGTCATTTGAAACCAATATTACCTGGTATCAGCGCCCACAAAGTGGAACAGGTGATCTGTTTACACGGTCATAACAAATAAGCTTTTCCATATCGAGCACCAGAGTGTGAGCTCAATCCGAGCTCTTTCGAACTTCAATCCTTTCTTCAATCGAGCACCTTTCGACCATCTCCACTCCTTCCAACTTCGCTCTGCAGCTCCAGTCCAGCTGGCTCTGGTCGGCCTGTAAACCTTTTCGACTTTACAGACCTGCCATTGCCCATCATGTCGACGACCATGCTGCGCACTAGCGCTGTCCGTTCGATCCCGCGCTCCTACACCTCGTTCCAAGCTACAACCCCGCGAACAAGCGTCCTCAACAATGCCTTGAAAGCCTCGCTGCGGACCTCTGCTCGTCCTGTACGGACCTCTCGTATCGTCGCCATCGCCGCGTTCCAGCCAGTTCCGAGGGCCTTGGTACGCTACGCCCACAACGCCCACGCTTATGACACGGCAAAGGCAGAAAAGGCACTGCATGAAAAGATTTTGCAACCAATCCCACAAGCAGTCTCTCCTGACTCGACAACTCGACAAGTCACTGGGGAAGTGCAGAGCAAGACTGCCGACGAGGAGGATGTGGATATGATGGGCGGTATTCGAAGTGACTTTGTGGGTTGCCGGCACGCGTGGGATGTCACAGTTCGCTTTTGCTAACCCTGGGACACACAGAACACGATCAAAGAGACATTTAGCTTGTCCGCAGTGCCTCGTGAAGCTCTTTATGTCGGTCTGGCAGGTGTCATCCCATACCTGGCTACGTCTCTGACGACCGTATACCTCTCGTTCGATATTCAATATGCGGCCACCCACGGCCAGGGATTTTTCATGTCTGGCGAGACGGCCGAGACATTGCTGCACATCATTGAGCCAATCCAGCTCGGTTATGGTGCCTCGGTCAGTTTACACAGACAAACGCAAAATTTTTCATCACTGACCAGTAGTTTCAGATCATCTCTTTCCTTGGTGCCATCCACTGGGGTCTTGAATGGGCAGGCTACGGTGGTTACAAAGGATATCCGAGATACTCTATGGGTATTGTTGCCACTGCCGTGGCATGGCCAACACTTCTCCTCCCCGCAGAGGTTGGCTTGATTGCCCAGTTCATGGCGTTTACCTTTTTGTACTACAATGATGCCAGAGCTTCTGCTCGAGGCTGGGCTCCTCAGTGGTACGGAGTCTACCGATTCGTTCTCACTTTCATTGTCGGTGCCAGTATCGTGGCTTCGTTGATCGGCCGCGGACAAATCGCTGATTTGGTCACCCGACCTCCGGGACCTGCCGACAGAATGAGGGAACTCAGGGCCAGACAGCTGGAAGAAATTGGACCTGAACCAGTGGGTAGCGATGAAGAAGAGGAGGAGGAGGAAGGTGGTGAGGAGGACGAGGAATAGAGGAATTCAAGAAAGCCGTGCGTTGAAAGTGGAGAATCGTTGCAAAAACCCGCTGATTGTTTGCAGGGAGCAGTCATTGTACATATCAAGGCCAAGGCAGGCAAATCCAAACATTTCATTTGTCTTCTGAACCGGAATGAGGTTTTCTGGTGTGTTTTCGTCTGTGCACAGTCGCCATAATCGATCTATCGAAATGTTCTGGTACGCAGATATCAACCAGGGACATGGCGATTAGTACAACAGGTCACAGTATGGGCTTTGCGGGCCCTCTTGTCGGTAATCCCAAGTCCCTCATTGGTGCTACTTATAATTGTGTGCTTAGGAGCAGCTTGCCACATGCTGTACTCGATCGTCGTCTCGGCGTTGCATCATAGCTCCCGCAGACACATGCATCCCCGCATTTCCGCACTCAGAGTTATGCTCCAGCTTGACGCAACAAACTATTTGATCTCGCCGTTCATTATTGTTCTTTGCTTGCTCTGTTGCTGGTTCCATGGCCTCCTAACTCCCGTGTGAGCTATTTGTTTCCCATGCTATCACGACTCAGGCAACAGTTGACTCATCTCGGTTCTCCAAGCTTGCCTCCTCTATCCAACATGGTACTCTCACTCTCGAAGGTCCCTGCTACATTCATGTTACCCACTGACCAGCACTGGTATAGGTTGATAAATCAAATAAGACCTTCGTCGGCGCAATCGACAATGGTACAACTAGCACACGGTTTCTCATCTTCGACCCTGCTGGTAACCCCGTGGCCGAGCACCAAATCGAATTCGAGCAGTATTATCCGCACTCTGGGTGAGTTCTCTGGCGCGTGAACGAGGCCTGCGTGTGATAAACAACGCGAGGTGGCTTTCCTATCACTTTCGTCTCTCTTACTCCTGACAGTTGGCATGAACACGACCCTGAGGAGCTTGTCTCATCGGTCTGCACTTGCATCGATGAAGCGTGTGCCTCTTTCACTTCTCAGGGCTATTCTCTCTCCGACATAAAAGCCATTGGAATCACAAACCAACGTGAGACGACTGTGGTATGGGATGCCAAAACGGGAGAGCCACTTCACAACGCGATTGTATGGACAGATACTCGGAGCGCACACATTGTGCGCGAACTCAAACAGAAGAAGGGAGCAGACGAGCTCATGGATCTGTGTGGCTTGCCATTGTCAACATACCCCAGCTCCACGAAACTACTCTGGATGCTGAACCACGTTGACAAGGTGAAGAAGGCGTACGAAGAGGGACGACTGGCTTTTGGAACGGTGGACACATGGCTTGTGTACAAGTTGAACGGCGGTGCGGAAAAGAACGTGTATGTGACAGATGCCACGAATGCCAGCAGAACCATGTGGATGAACATCCATAACCTGTCTTACGACGACAAACTGATTTCCTTCTTCGACCTCGACGTCAAGACCCCGAAGCTACACTTACCGAAGATCGTACCCTCGTCAGATCCAGAGGCATACGGCACGCTCGCGTCCACCAAGCTCAAGGGGGTCAAAATCACAGGCTGCTTGGGCGATCAGTCTGCGGCATTGGTGGGACAATGTGGCTTTTCCCCGGGCCGGGCAAAGAACACGTATGGCACGGGGTGTTTTCTTTTGTACAACGTGGGCGAGAAGCCCGTCATCTCCACACACGGCCTCCTCGCCACAGTTGCGTACGACTTCTCGCCTCAGGGCATCAAGCCCGTATACGCGCTCGAGGGATCCATCGCGGTGGCCGGCTCTTCGGTCAAATTCCTCGTCAACAAGTTAGGATTCGGCAGCGAGTCGTCCCAGATCTCCGAGCTGGCGGGCACGGTCAAGGACAACGGCGGGTGCGTCTTCGTCACGGCCTTCTCGGGCCTCTTCGCACCATATTGGTACGACGACGTCAAGGGCACTATATTTGGCCTGACGGGATACACGGAGAAGGGCCACATCGCCCGAGCAACGCTGGAAGCGACGTGTTTCCAGACCAAGGCGATCCTAGATGCCATGGAGAAGGACGCGGGCGTTCACCTGAAGGAGTTGGCTGTGGACGGGGGCATGAGTAACAGTGATTTGTGCATGCAGGTGAGCCTAGCCATCCATCATCAGACCCCTTTCTCCTCTCATTTTTTCATTTTTGTTTTTTTTTTTTCAACGTGTTCTTTTCTGCACAGAACTGTTCTTATAAACTCCGTGACCTTTTTCCGCTCTGCGTTCCCAGCATCCCCCTTTTTCTACCCTGTTTTCTCTATCCTATTTCCTGTTTCCCGTTCTCTATTTTCTGTCATTTGTGTTTTTTTTCTCTTTTCTGACTCTGTACCACAGACACAATCCGACATCATCCAAATCCCCGTGGACCGACCGCAGATGCGGGAGACCACGGCCCTCGGCGCGGCCATCGCGGCCGGCTTCGCCGTCAAGGTGTGGTCGTCGTTTGACGAGCTCAAGGAAATCAACGCCGAGGGCCGGCAGTTTTTCGAGCCCGGCATCTCGAAGCGCGCCAGCGACAGACTCTACAGGAAGTGGAGCAAGGCCGTCGAGATGTGTCGCGGGTGGATAGACGAGGATGAGGAAGAGGATGAGGGAGAGGATGCTGGGAAGTCGTGAGAATGGATGGCCACATTGCATACCTACTTTGTAGGTAGGTAAGTACCTAGGTAGGTATATGATTCGATATAAGACCATACAGCACGCGCAGCGCAATGCAGTGCAGATAAGATGTGGAGTTGGTTTACAGAGAAGAGAGAACTAGCTCAAGAGGTCTGTTTGCATGGGCACTGGACGTGACCATTGATGTATTATTACATCCTGTCAACGGGACAATTATCTTCATCATGCTACATGTCCATTACTCTTTGTCCCTTGATCGGCGGCCTCGTACTCTTCAATCCTGGCCTCCCAGTCTTTCCGCATGGCTTCCATCTTGTTCCACACTTCTGCCCCCTCGGCGACGAAATTTTCAACATCTTCCTTGGTCGCGTCTGTGTATCCTGTTTTCCTTCCCAGACTTCCACCCCACCATTTATCTTTGAAGGGCTTGCCGCTGCCGTTGATGCCCCAACCGGGGACATCGGTGACTCGAACGGAAGAATGGCCTAGACGGTCGGTGGATGACCCCCATTTACATGGCCCGCCGTCTTCGTCGCCGGTGGCTTGGATAGCTCTGTCTCTGATGTCTGCTAGGGACGCGAGCGCAAGCCACGTTGCCGCCGCGGCGCCGAGGTTACTGGTCACGTTGGCCCAGGGCGAGCCGCACCAACGGGCCAGGTAGATGCCTAAGCGGTAGCATTCGTGGATGATCCAGTACAGGCTGATGATGGTGGTGGTACAGATGCCTGGATGCGACACGTGGAAGGTCGGCTCGGAGTGATGTGGCCGCTCTCGTGCAGGCTCTAAGGAAGGTGTCGTGTATTCTTTGACTTGTTTGGCTGTTGCTGGCTGGTTGACCGCGCTCAGCGCCAGCAAGTCTCCCATCCGCTTGGTGTGTTCGTACGCCGCGGAGGATTTCAGGGCTTGGTGGTCGTCGGGGTTATAGTGAGATGCTACCGCCTCGATGGAAGTTGACCAGATGATCTTGCCGCGGGACTCAGGTGCGCATGCGCGGAATAATGGCATGAGCCAGTGTACCAGCATGTAATGTCCGAAAACATTTGCGCAGAAGACCTCTCCAAGGATCGGTTCCTCACCGGCAACAGTCCCCTTGGGGAATTGCGGTTTTGTCACCAGCCCGACGAGACCCAGTTTGAACGTCGGCCATGTTGTAGCCTGTCTGATACCCGTCAAGACTGTCCACAGTGTCAGCGGCCAGTTAAGACCTGACCATCCTCCTATACCGGCATTGAGGACTATTGCATTGATATGCGGAAGATCTGAGGCGAGGAGTTTGCGGCTCAGGGCACGAACGGAGAGGAGGCTCGTCAACTCGACATTCTCGGATTGGAAATAGATCTTGCGACTGGAGGTGGAAGTGTCGCTGTGACTGGCGAGGTGTTTCTCGAGGGTCGACAGAGTCTCGGCGCCCTTTTTGGCACTTCGAGTGGTGAATATGATGGTCAGGGTGCCATCATCGTGGGTGTGAGAAGCAAGGTATTCGTCGACGAGACGGAAACAGGTTCCCAGACCCAGGCCGCTTCAGTGTGTAGGGCGCAGTCCCAAGTCAGACTCGAATCGATTGGACAGAGCGGTTCTAATGGGGGGCCTCGCTTACCTGTTTGCGCCAGTCACCAGGACATATTGATCGTTGTTTGTCATTGATCTCGGTCACTAGGATTTAGTTATGAAGAACCATCCATTGTGGAAGGGTTTTTCTGTCTATTTGGGAAAGAGGTACGACGGTGACGTCGGGGCACCGTTCGCGTTGTGGCGCGACTCGGATCGCGGTCGCACAATCAATGAGTGGCTTACGTAATTCGATACAGTCTCATATTCGACTTCACCAGACAAACAAGACTCAATCAATCTCCTTTTGGACACATACGAGAACGACTGAAAGATCCAAGTTATACGGAAAATCCAGATCATACATTACACCATAGCACTAGAAACTACACAGCTTGTCTTCTCTGTTCTCACACACTTATTCTTTGGTTGTTCGGAGTCCAGCTTCCCAGGTGGCAGTGCGATCGACCCCCCATCCATAAGAGCTGCTGTCTTTGGTCGATGTTCGACGCACATCTCGCTTATACTTGGTGGTGTACGCTCCTCCTGGAGTGGCCCGGTGCAACACCGCCGTATTGTCCCACATAACCATGTCACCATTGTTTTCCCACTCAATAGTCAGCAAGTATTTGTCCTGCGAGACGTGGTCCAGCAACTCGTTCACCAGCGGTCTGCTCTGCTCGATGGTTTCCCCGTCGAAATGATGCACGTATGTTGTGACGTACAGGTTCATGCGCCCCGATTCTTCGTGCAGCTGGGCCAGCTTATGTCGTGCCATGGGAAACTCCAAGGGCTCGAAATCCGCAAATGTGTCTGGGGCTGCGAGCTTTCGGTTGTGGTAGAGCGAGTTGTTGCAGACGAGAGGCTCGATACGTTGTTTCATCTCCTCGGAAAGATCGTCGTACGCGGTGCGGGAATCGAGATACTGCGTCTCCCCTCCGGTACCTTTTGGGGGAAGCTCGACCGCCCGGAGGATCGAATAGTGTGCGCGGCGTGGGTTATAGGCCATGTCTGCGTGCCAAAGGCAGTTGCCCTTATTCGCTCCGACGCGTGCCGGCTCGAGCTCGGTGAGCACGTTACCATTTTCGTCGAGGTTCGAGACGTCGAAGATCTCAGGCTGGTTTGGAAAACGCATCTTTCGTCCGGCGTGCATGTGTGCTTTCACATCATACATCTCGCCAAAGTGGGCGGTGAATGCAATTTGCTGCGCATTGTCGATGTTTGTGCCGCGGAACACGAGGACACCATATTTGTTGCACGCGTCTCGTATCTCGGCTGCAGTCTCTTTCGAAATGGGCTTTGAGAAGTCAACGCCGTGGACTTCTGCGCCAAAGGTCCGGGCGAGAGGAGTGAAGGTGAGAGTAGCTTCGCGCTCACGAGTAATCATTTTGGCAGGAGTACACGGTATCGTAAATCTCACTTTGGGGGGAGGTGATGGTGCACAACCAGTAAGACTGACAACCTTTTCAACCTTTATAGATCCTGAAAGTGGTCCTCTGTGTCGACGATCCCTGAACTAACACAAACAGCGTGCTGCGACGGCTCCTCTTTTGATTCTGGGGACGAGACCGTACTCAAGCGGGGTTTATACTCCCTTACCTGGTTTAGACACCTCGGCCCGAGCTCGTTAGAGAAAGACTGTTTCCAAGCTTACAGCGTGGATTCGGAGATGGTTTGGAGGATGTTGGCGATAGTCCGTGGAGATTTGGAGGTTTGAAGGTTTGGGGCAGCCTGAATCGTGAGGCTCCACGGTCTGAATCTCCGTGGAGAATGCCGTTGACAGTACCTCTCGACGGTGATTGGATTTGTACAGGCTGTCCATGTGTCAAGGATAAGTCGTGGTCTGATGCTTTGCTGAATACATCGGGCAATGCTAACACTCGAATTGGACAGGTCATGAGACTGAAGGAATGAAGCTTCTGTTGGGTATACGAGGAGTCCAGAGAAACGCCTAATCGTCGCCCTCTATTACTACCATCAACAATACTTGATGAAAGTCACCCACGATCGAGATCTCGACGTCTTCACGACGATCCACAACCGTCTTGGGCTGCTGGCACTTTCCAAGACAGCCATCGTTGGTGTTGAAGTGGCCATTCTTGGGACTAATCAATGCGGTCTTGACCCAGTCTCGCCTCTCTATTCATGAAACGCCATGAATGCCACGACACAGTAGGCGAGTACGAGCAAACTGATCTACACAGGACTCTGTTTGACCGATTCCTTCCACTCCACCTCGTACTCTTGCGCCGCTCGAAGCATTCTTCTCTACGTGTGCTTCTTCATTCCGCCCATCCTACAATTTGCCTCGGGGTTTCCCAATGTGGAAGCGATGACATCCGCTAACATGAGTCAGTTGAGACCACACAGAGGCAGAGGTCGACTTCACCCTTTACCCTCTACCAGATGCAACTCCCTGATGATGGATCCAAGCCTACTTGTATGTTCGGCAGATATGGATTTGTGGCCCCCAACCCTTAAGCTGAGAACAGGATTCTGCTCTAAGACGCCAGGGAATGCTCTCGCCGTGGGCTTCCCAACCATCCCGCATTGCCTCTAATTACTTACTGCGGACAAATCTATTGATATTTCGAAGTGCCTCCCTCACAAAGACTCCTTTCAGGGGGAATATTCAGCCGGGACACTCGCCCCAGTCCATGGTGTTATATCCATTTTCAGCGACACCAATGCGTGTCTCACTTTCCTTACTTGAAGAATCAACGGCGAAATGATCTCGAAGTTTTCTGTGAACGGAGTCTGGTCCGGCTTCTGCGTCATCAGACTTATCGAGTAACCCCCGTCCAGGTACGAGACGGCAGGCGACAGGGATCCAGCAGCACAATTTAGACAGCGACAAGGCCAAGCCATGGACGATGACGCTGCTCACGACGAGGAACCATACAACGACCCGCATGGCATCTTGGAGAAACTGTATATCCCCGAGTACCGTAGCTTGGCCACCATCCTGGACCAACTCCTCGAGGAACTCCACGGCGATTAGCAGATAGAAAATGGCTGAAACTCCAATAGGTCCAAAGAAGCCGACAAACATGGCCTGGAGAAGGCTTCCGATCTCGGTCACGTTATGCTTCATGATCAAGATTGCCGGTAAGCGCCGGAGACAAAGGATTAGGACGGCCAGCGACAGTAGTCGTCCGGGCGAGATGATGCTGTTTGTGGTGAATAATGTCCATGGCGCGGCGGCTCCGTACCATATGAAGATGGAGACGTTGAGTAACATATCCGCTGTGGACCAGAAGAGTTCACTGCTGGCGTCCTGCTCGAACCTGCGAGGTAAGTGACAGCTCAAGAGGATCTCCACGGCCGACTTACTGGTCATCCCACGCAAATGTGCACCCGGCGACGAAGCAGGCGAGGATGTCGTCGGTTCCCAGTATTCCACAAGTACCCAAGGTGAATAGTGACAACGCAATGACATATGTCAAGGAGCTCTCTTCCTCGACGAATCCGCGTCTTCTGGCAGCAAAGAACAGCTTTCGCGCAGCGTAGCCGACCATCACGCCATAGACGACGCTGAAAATGACAACGTAGCCCCAAGTACCCCCGAGCCAGGATGTGAGCATATCTAGCGGAGACCCTTGGCTTCCAGAGTGCTTGATCCAATAAAGTGCGAAGAAGAGAAATGGATACCCAAGGCCATCGTTCAACCCTGCTTCGGCTGTGATGAGACTCTGCAGCGGCTTCGGAGTATTGAGCTCTGCAAACCGGCCTTTGATGACCGCGTTGGAGAGGATTGGATCGGTCGGAGCGACACAGGCTCCGATGGCCAGGGCGTGGACGAAGCCCAGACGAGGCAACGTCAACCAGATGATCAGGCCTGCACTGAGCCACATCAACGTCAGAGTTGGGCCAATCAGGTAGAAAACCGATCGCCATGCCTGGGACAGATAGCGCCGAGGGAGCTGGACGCCCGTGAGGACCAGCTGGACCGCGAGCACCAGCCGGGAGAATTCCAGGGTGATTGAGTCGATGTGCTTGCTCTCTCCGCACCCATACTCCTCTGGACGGAGGACTCCCGCAAATTTTGAGAAAACTGCACCTGCAATCAAGGCAATCACTGGGTCGTCTTGTGAGCTCAAGGCCGTGAGACCCCCATCAGGAAAACTCACATGCTTCCGAGAGCAGGAATTGTTGCTTCCATGCCTCAGACACCAGCCCGAAACTCAACAGGAAGCCGCCGAATGCGGCGCAGACCAGGTTGAAGTTGGAGAGGACCAGACCATCCATACTGTCCATCTGAACGTGCACTGGAGGGGTCGGAGAGAAAGGAAGGGGGAGGAATCAAGCAATACTCTTGTCTTTTGGTGACTCCATCAGCGCCGTCTGCGTTGTATATGGAACTTATTCATACTTGCAAAGTGCACTTCAGCATTTCGCACTTCCATTACCTCCCATCTACGATCCCACACTAATAGTCTGCGGATGACGGCGGCGTCCAGCGAATCTCACCGTCTTTCGAAAGATGATCATCAATCCCCCAAGAGAGCACCATCACTGCTGAGTTGGGAAATATCTACTCGGTAGATCCTCGTCAGCCCCATGGCCAGATCCCGTTGGTATCGCGATAGGAAATTCTTTGGCGGAATTGGACGAATCAAAACCGAGGCTGACTCGTGACCAATCATCAATCGATTATCAACGAACGGCACCTCTAAGCATGCAAGCTACCACGAACGCTTTCCACGCCATCCGAACGGCATTACAAAGCAGACCAAGGCGATTTGTGGAAAATATGCAAGTCGGTGCAAGTCAGTGCAAGTCAGTCAGCCTCAGGAAATAGGATCCGGGATCCGGGAAGACGGAACGAACGACAAAGCGGGCCACGCCGTGGATCCTGCGGGCACGCGCGCTTGCGCATGGACGCCTACTTAGTTAGTGATCGCGTCGACAGGGTTTACTATTTGTCGAATATTTTCTGGCAAGGGATCTTGCGACAAGATAATCGGTCATCTTGTCTCTGGGATCAGAGGCGAATGGTGTTTCTCTCTCTGGCTGTGGTGTCGTTTGTGCTCTGATTTGATGGTATTGGGCTGGGAAGCAGCTCCCTGGTTCGAGCATCCATGGCAGAGTAACGCGCAGAGCCTCTAGTTGTTCCTGGATGTTCTATTTTTAGTCGTGCTGCGTAGTCTGCTCATTTGGACAAGGATAATGCACAGCTCGAACCAGGCCTTGAGCTCAAGGGTTGTTTATGTTGCGTCTCAAACACCTTACATTCGACAACTCGACGCCCTCCAAGCGTTTGCCTCACCAACAATCTCGTGCTATACAGAGAGCACTGAGACAGAGAAATGATCCATCCAACCTCTTGAACCCCTTACAATGTGAGGTCGCGACATGGCCTGCGAAGAAAGAGTGTCGAGCATCACGGCAAGACATTCTCTGCCACCTGGAAACTCGATAGTTAGGGGTGGCGTTCGAACACATACATACACGGACGAGGTACAGTAGCACTAAGCAAGGACTAATACATGTAAGGCCACATAGTTTTTGATTCTTCCCACCCCCTCCCAGCGCACAAAACGGCAAAAAAACTTATCCACAGAGCAGCTCAACCCCACTGGTCTGTGATAAGGGAAAACTCACTCCCTTTTTGCGGGGAGTTGGTTTTTTCTCGGCCGGCCGGTTATACTACGGAAATTTTTACTACACTTGGTTGAGATGTCGTCGTAACCGTGACTCGAACTCGTGGTAATTCGGATTTCGCCCTTGTTCTTAGAGAAAAGGGGGTCTTTGCGTGCCAAGATTTGGAGGGAGAAAACATATATACTAGTAATTTTCTGTGGATCTTTGTACCGGTACTGATAGCACATCTCTGTGACTGTGACTGGCGGCCTGCGCGTGTTGACTACGACTTGTGAATCAATCCGATACTTGGCGGGGGTGGCAGATTCACTGATATTGCCAAGGCGCTAACATTGCACCGAGACAGCTGGACCGAGACGCTAGTCCTGTTTGGTACTCTATCCTCTTCGACTCTACATATTTATTAGTTCCCCTTCCCGATTGGAATCCAATCCACTCAGCTGGCTGTCCGTCTCCAGTGGAAATGTGTACATCCTCGCCATCGCGCCTGGCTTGCAGCTCCTCATCATCTCCATGGAGCCAGCGTGCTGTTCAGCAACCTCGCACGACTGGACTTAGTCTCTGCCTCAATCCCCGCGTCATATCCAAGAGCGTGGACAGCGCCCTCCGCAGAATAGCAGGCGGTGACACCATCCACGCCGTCATGTATGGGTGCGTGGAAGACTCCCAGCTTCGCGAGCATCGCACCGACCCTCCTGGCCACCTTTTTTGAACTCACTAATCAGGATTTGTTGATCTCCGTGCCCGGTCTGGGCAGGAGATTGTTGGGGAGATACCACCTACGCCACGTTCCTTCTGTAGGTCGAGTGTTGGTGATGGGTCCGCGACTTTGTGACTTATTCCTTCCGAAAGCTCGCGCAAGGCGTCGGAGAGAATAGCACTCCATGGGTATATCGGGAAGCATAGGGTGGTCAGGGGCTGCATAGCCTGTGGGAACTAGGGGACAAAACATGTCAGATCTTTTTCATTTTCTACTGGTGCAGAGAATCTCCCATCTCCATGGTAGGTGCTATATAGGCACGTCTCACAGTCCGTGTGACTGACTGCTTGTGCCTTTATATTGCGCATGGCTGCTCTCGAGTAGTGAGATCAAGGGTATGTCGGCGCAGAGATAACTATTGAGCAAAGATGAATCTGACATCAGTAAAGCTCTCCTAGACTCCCGTACAGTACAGACATACATACCTTGCCGGTTCTACCTTTTTCTTCTCCAGCTCTCAAATTTCCTTGATGAATCCAACCTCGACGAGCTTGTCCACGGGGATATTCAGCGCTTGCACCTTGGTCCGCGTATTCTCCCGAACCCACAGGAACGCTTCCAGCAAGGCTCTCTTGACAATATTCGTGTGTGGCTTGACACGCAGTTGTTCCTTGCCCACAATGTAGACAACCTGCTTGGTGAAGGCCTGCTGCAGCTCGGACAGTCGCTCCGTCACTTGCGACTCCGGCGGTGGCTCCAACGACGCGTTCTCCGAGTTCACCGTCTTTTCTGCAAGCACCACTCGCTTCGCGTTGTCGTTGTCGCTCATCTGCCCCTGAGGCGGGTTCTCGTGGCCGATCAACGCTTCATGGAGAAGGAAATCCCGCACCTGGTCGTGCAGCAACAGTCCCAGGTTCTGGCTCACGACCTCGTCGTTGTACCCGTGACGGATGATGACGCGGTAGCAGTTTGGCAGGGGCTGTTTCTTGCCGTCACCGGCCCCCGTGCCCATAAAACATCGGATGGTCTGGTACCGTTCCTCGGCGGGCAGGGTGGGAATTTCTAGAGGCCGTAGGTGGAAGAAGATGACCACGTCGGGCGCGGCGTGGAACTTTTGGAGGAAGTGTACAAACGCTGTGGGCGTCGTGGACGGTGCGCCGGACTTGTCGAAAAACACGCCCGTGCCATTGATGCGCGTGATTTCCTCGCCTCCGAAAGCAGGACTGAGTCTAAGTCCGCGGCAATATTCGCTGGCGCTCTCGGTAGGTCTCAATATGTCAGACGTGGGGATCCGCTCGAATCTCTCTGATTTCCACTGTTCCTCTTTGCCGAATCTCCAAAGAACGAAAAAGCAGACCAGGACGACGGAGAGGGCCAGGGTAAACCATGCACCGTTGGGGACTTTGGTGAGAGCGGAGGAGAGGAAGACACCGTCCCACAGTGCAAATATGAGCCAGATGGGCGCAACGACGTAGAGTGGATAGCGCCAGACGATCAAGGCCACCACGGCGACCATGTTGGTGGTGAGAAACGTTACAAGAATGACACAGACTCCGTAGGCGTGCCCGAGGTTGGTCGTGTTGGTGTAGACCCCGGTGATGATGACGGTCCCAATCATGAGGAGCCAATTCGCGATGGGCATATAGATCTGGCCATAGAAAATCTTGGACACGTGCACCACCTTGAGCTGTGGGAAGTAGGATAGTTTCATGATCTGAGTCAACAGTTGGAACGTGGCAGTGATCGTGGCCTGACTGGCGACGATGGCGGCGAGGATCGCGATGATAAGTGAAGGCCAGATGCACCCCGGCGGCACAGTCTTGAAGAACGGGTTGTTGTAAGCATCGGGGATATCAGCAATATAGGCTGCTTGTCCAATATAGCTCAAGAGTAGACAAGGATAGGCAAAGTATAGCCAAGACAGTCGTACCGCCGGGGCACTGAAAGCTCCAAGGTCGGCATAGAGAGTCTCGCAGCCTGTGAAAGCCAAGAGGATTCCTCCCAGGTTGATCCATCCCTCTCTTCCATTCCTCACGAGGTAGTGTCCGGCATAGTATGGGGAGAAAGCCTTCAGCACAGAGGCGTCGTGCTTGGCCAAGTTGTAGATGCCGAAGACGGCATTAAAGAGGAGCCAAACAATGACGATAGGAGCAAAGGTGCTCGCGAGCTTGGTGATTCCAAAGGGCTGCAACAGGAAGAGGACGATGAGAATGGCACAAGAAGATCCAATCACTGTCGCCTGGCTGATATTCGCCGACACGACTTCGATTCCCTGGATCGCACCAAGGACAGATTGGGCCGGAGTAAGGACACCATCGGACATGACGAGAGCAACACCAAACACGCCCAGGACTTTCAGAATCCATTGGACGGTAGGAGAGCGCTCCATTAGATTTCGCGCTGTACGCGCTGGTTTCCGGAGATCTCCAGTCATGTGCCGCTCCATCCTGACCATTTGCGCTTCTCGAGGATGGCGACGAACAATGTTGGCGTAACGGGTCAATAGAGAAAACAGTGCAAATGTGCCACCCTCTCCTTCATCGTCGGCTCGGAGAACGATAAAGCAGTACTTGATGGTGACCATGATCGTGAGCGCCAGATAATCCAGGAGCATGCACCCACCAGATCTTCGTGGCTTGGAGGGGACGAGAAGGTAGACGAGTAGACGTACAGTGGACTGGTGCCGATGTCGCCGTAGATCACTCCAATGGATTGATAGGCAAGCCACAAGAGTTTCCATCCATGGAAAACCTGTCGAGGTCAGAGTGACGCTTGATTTCTGAGGGAAGCCGTCGATGATGGCACCGTACCTGTCTTCTTTTGATGTCTCGCGAGTCTACACTGCCGGTCTCAGAGTCGACGCCAGTGTCTTTGATGTATTCCTTCGGCTTTTCCAGAGACTTGACGGCCGCCACTCCAAATGCCGATGCCTCTCGACTCCTGAGAGTGTAAACTCCGCCACCGTCACCACCGACAATGCTCTGTGATCTCGCGGAAGGTATTGCTTCATTTGGCCGGCCGTTAGAGTCGCTCATGGTGGCGTTGTTTGCTCGAGAAGAGACTTGAGAGACAGAGCAAGCACCGACGATAGTTTACCTCGGAGCCACTGTGTCTTGAAGCTAACGGGCAAGCACAAAATGTGAAGACAGAAAGGATACAAAGGGAGAGCCAGACCAGGACATTGGCTCAAATATATCTCCCAGACGGAGGGGGAGCAATTAGGGCCGGTCCAGTACATTGTTCTCGCGAGAAGACGAAGCGAGCATTGCCACGCTCTAGGGGTGGAGGCTGCAGCCACCTCCATCTAGCGGCGAGCTACCTGTAGGAGGTTTCTTTGATTAGCAGAATGATGAGGTGATTGGTCCATGAGAGAGACCCCCGGCTTATCTGACTGTGGTTCTTGTATTGTTACGGACACGATTAAATGTGTCACAACTGGTCAAGGTTGGTAGTATGAGCGCGGGCTCGTATTGAAAGCAGGGGTCATGTGTGTCTCGATCGAGGCATCCCCTGTCGGTGGAGACTATCTGCATGGCTCAAACCAGCGTGGAGATAATGGTGGATGAAAATAGAGGAGGAGGAAGGGTGAACTCAATGAAGCTGACGGGTTCGTGGGATGCGCAGGCAAAATGCCTCATACCACATTTGAAAGGTTCCGCTTTCCACTGCCCGCCATTCAGCGGGATGAACTCGGTCGGTTGCCCACGTGCTATCAAGGCTTTGCACCTTTGGACTACTTGTGGGTTCGACCAATGTGGTGTTTTTGATAATAGAGGCTATGAAACAGGTCTGGACTTTTGCGGGTCCTGAATTTCCATGTGCTAAGACTCTCTCAAGCATTTGCAAGGGCCTCCAGCATCTGTCTGAGCTACTCAAAGAGGGGGCTGATACTACGACCTCAGCACAGGTTGAAACTCCCACGCTCAAATCCAAGCGGCTCGTCATATTTCCACCCAAGGAAAAGGAGCTCAATGGTATGACATCCTGCGACTCAAAGGTACATAGTTGGTTCAAGGCGGCAAGATTGTCCTTAAATCGATCCTGCTGAGGACCACGAAGAAGAAAGTTAGCATCGGCTTCAATATGTAATCGATTCTTCGAGTCTGCAAGAAGCATGCTCGGACGTACCAGACTGGACAGGTCCCGCTGAAGCGCAAAAGCCACCGGTCAATACAGCCCCGGTGATATCTGTGACTGCAAGGGAGGACGCGAATGGTATCATTGACGATGAAGGGCTGAGTGCATATGGGACATTCTGGTGGCTCTGTCTGGTGAACCGAGTCTCGACAAGTGGACTTGGGGCTCCTTTGTCTGAGGTATGCCCGGACAGGTCTGATAACGTGCGATCTTGCCACCGTGTAACTGTCCATGCCTTCTTCCAAATCCGTGTCCGGCTTCTGCTCTTCTGGATTGTCACTGCTCGGCTTGGAATTTCTTCCTCTTGGTTGTGGGAGCGTCCCAACATGATATTCCACCAAAGGTAGTAGCTGCAGCGTAGATTTGCGAATACCGCCGTGATCGCACATTTGGAGTGCATGCAACTGGCGTCGGTGCTGCATTTCACCGCGAGTCTGGAGAGGGAGTCTGGAGGTTTTAATGAAGACCGAAAGAACACAGACAATCATTACAATGACGATGATAAGAGACACCGTGATGATAGTCCTGCTTCCGTTCATTTTCGGAGGTGCGGATGGATCAGTTGTCATGTTGCCTACACCATGGAGGTAGAGCAACAGACAATCAGACAGAAGCAAGTCGGGGCAGGTCAACGACAAGGCGTGGGCATTTGTGGGTCATCGTTGAAGTGACCACATCCATAGTTCGTCAAGGACATGATATTGAACCAGATCGTAGAGGAGGTACTCGTAGGTGACCTTGGGCAGGGCTCTGGCCAAAGGATCAACTGTCGCATAAATGCCTCAGCTCGTTTCGTTGTCAAAAGTCTGCTCTCAGCATGGGATCAATCCCACCAGGCTCATCTCTGTGCGATGTGGTATCCACAGGCGACCCACAAGCATCTGCAAGGCTCTCAGAAAGGATAAGCTGATCCCTCAAGACAAGCGCATAAGGAAAGATGCCGATGATGCTGATCCAATGGTGGAGGCCACGGTTAGACGGAACAGAATCACAAAATGCCAAGCCTTGGAAAGGGGCCTCTAGTGCCTACTAGGTAGATGGTTCCCGCACTCCCATGCAATTCCTCGTAAGCTCGCATCTTTTTTCCAACGCACATGGGCTGACTTCTCCTCCTTTGGCTTCCTCATCTCCAGGTGGTACTTTTACCAGAAGCTTTTTGTAAAGTCCAATCCAGATCGGAAGATCCAGTGCCAGCCCAAATCACGTGCTCCTGTGTTCACTGCTTCTGCAAAGTCAGACATGTAACAAACCCTTTGTCGTTCTGAGCGAAGACAGGGCAAAGGAAGACTTGTTATGCTTGGTACATGTATGCAGTACGAAACAGGCTGCCTTCCCCCTGCTTTCCACCACACTATTCGCGTACCGTACTTACTCCACAGCCTGACCTCAACTGCTGAAAGACATTCCTGTCTTGATGCAAGCCTGAAGCGGGCTGTGACGACGTCCACTTCACCGGCTCGCAGGACGTCAACACGCGAGACAAAACAACTCTGAAGAGATGTGGACATCTCCGAACCTCTTATACTGCATCGCGACGGGTCAGCTTCTAGCTCCGCTTCCTACTACATAAACCGTCCTACCCTATATTAAACCATTGCTCCGCCCAGACCGTCAAGGCTGTCGGTCTGCACTTTGTTCTCAAACATGGTCGAGTTACCAAGATCCTAGAAAGAAACCATATGGTCATTTACATCAGCATTTGTCGTCCCTCCCGATGCCATGGCTGTGAGCGGAAGTGTTCATCATCATGGACTGCGTGGAGGGCGATACCTTGCAAGATATCTAGCCGTCGTCACAAGTCTCAGATAAAAGCGCTATAATGAAACAACTTCGGGCCATAATCGGTCAACTGCGGGCATTAAGGCCACCGGAAACGTAGTCCTAGGGTAGCTTAGACCATAGTTCGATGGACTTCTATTTCTTTTCGACAGAGCCTAATCCTGCAATGAATGAACCATTCGTCACTGAGCGCGACTTCTCCTAAGGTTCTCGTACAGAATTTGAGGTGTATCCACAGACTTTCTTGTTACTTGGCTAGCTGAGACGGTGGCGCTGAGCATGAAATACCACGACCTCTTCTTCTAGAGAAGATAGGTCTCGACCACCATTCAAAGACTTATTCAGGCGATTTGCCGGTACTCGTACAGTAAGTAATGCTGCTCATTCCACTTCTCTCACGCCCCTGCCCTGCCTCGCCTCGTCTGCACCCTCGTGCACCCGCGATATCGTGGTGTCGTGGCGTTATGGCGTTTTGTGACATAGCATAGTTTAGCTAGATACCTTCTCGTAGGCTACCCCTTCTATTCCGCTCAAAGTGGGTCGTGGTATGATGCCGCCCATGCATTCATCTCCATGGGCATTGACATGTGCATCTACGCCGTAATCGAGGGGAAGAATCCCCATCCAATTGATTGTTGCTTGTTGCCCGTATCTAAACCGTCTCTATATCCTTGAACCAGGGATGTTCCAGGGCCTGACGCGCCGTGATCCGCCTCGCCGGGTCGAGATCCATCATTCGCTGAACGAGATCTGTGAACGCCGCCGTGTCAATGTCCGTGTCAGTGTCCGCGTTCGTCGAAAGATCTAGCTCCGACCACGTCGAAAACGGCCTGTACGGGTGGTATTCGGCTGCGCGATCGTCCCAAAGCCACCTCAAGACCTGACAATTGAATTCCTGGTCGCCGACGTGTGTCATCAGTCCCTTCAATCCTTCTCGGGTTCCGAAATACGAGACCTGGCGCTGGAGGCGGATGACGTGGGGGAATACGCCGAGTGCCTCGAATTTGCGGAAGTCCTCGTCACTCCCGAAAACGACGCGGCCGAGCATGGCGTAGATGCACTACATAAAAAAATTTCAAAGTTTGTATGTTAGGACAGATGTATCTTATTAAATATAATCAGGAGAAACTCACCACGGCTCCAAAACTAAAAATGTCGGTCGGCTTGTTGAGTTCACCCCTGAAATGGCCCTCCGGGCTGCGCCAGTTGTCGTTTCCGGCTGGCATGCCTTTGATGCATCGGCCTTTGGGGAGATGAGCCGCGTTTTCGAGATCGATGAGCTGGACGTGCTTGATTGTCATATCTCCTCCGTTTTCGTCCTCGTGGTGATGGTGGTAGTAGTCGACCATGATGTTGTCGGGTTTAATGTCTGGACAATCCTCCCCAAAAAGTGATTAGCGCCATACCATGAGACTTCACATACGTTGTAATCCCGGCTCAGCAGGAAAGGGACATAGGGAAGGAAGAGGCCATTTTCTCAAAGTGCCTACATACCCAAATGCACGACATCGCGTTCATGCAGCTCAACAATCCCCTGCAGACTGGCTTTGAGGATCTCCTTCCTTGCCTTGATTGGTATTCGCTTCTTGACGAGGTCGAGAAAGTCGTCGTCCAAATACTTGTACACAAAGACACGCTGGTCCTGGATGGTATCAACCGGCAAACGTATATTTTGACAGCCGCGGAGTTGGGGCCAGATGCTTTCGTGGAAGTGAGAGAACATGGCTGGGGGAACGTCCTTCAGGATGAATTTCTCTTGTCCCGACCTGCACTATTTATCAGCTCACTGAATGGATTGTCAGTTGTGAAGGAGGGATACAAACGTTGTCAACCAAACGCGACCGAGGTGCGGTCTCTCTTGAATCAGCGATTTGAAGACATAAAGTCGTCCTGCTGTGCCGATGGCTTCAGCCGACGCCGATGCCAGCTTTACAGTCTTTTCGAGCATCTTTTGTGGGGAATGGTGATGGATGACTCCGATTTTGACTGTGACCTGTGACTGAAATTGAGATTGAGGCTGAAGAAGTGTGTGAAAATCCAGCAAGGGGGAAAGTGGAGTGAAGGTGCTGGGCGTGTTGCCCGTGTTGGGTTTGTGTAACACAAAAGCTGTGATTGTGAATCTGGCCCCAAAGTGTTGGCGACTCGTTTCCCTCCCCGACGACATCTGGAATAATTCATATTTATACGCAGCATTCATTAGCATGGAGAGGTAGGGACAACAACTGTGGCTTGCTTGAGTCTCGCTTGAGCCTCGCTTGGATTGTTATTACGTGGTATGTGGCATAGAGAAAACAGGATGGATGGCCAGCCAGCCACGCATGCTAGAAATGGATCCGCGCAACGCCGATAATCTGTCCACCACCGCTTCCCTCCTGCACGATCAAGACCCTCTCCAGACCGTCAGTCGTGTCGCGCGGCGGGAGGGGCACCACACCTCTCCCACCTCGCCACTCGCCGAGGTTGCGGACGCTCTTGACGACGTTGCGATGCGCCAGTGTTTTGCCGGCGTTCTCGCCTCTCGATACATTGACCTCCTGCAGCGTCGGGTCGTAGATGACCTCGACGACGGTGCCGATGCGGCCGGTGGCGGCGGCGGCGGGGCTGGCTTCGCGGATGAAGACGCCGGCGTCGACCTTGGAGAACAGCAGCCACGGCCAGTCCTTGCTGGCGAGCCGGCCGCCTTGTTTGATCAGCCGCTCGAGCTTCGACGTCGAGTTGCCCGCGCCCTCGGACACGCCGTTCACCACCACCTGCGGCGTGTACACCCTCGACGTGCCGTATGCCTGCGCGTACTCCCGCTGGCGCTCGTCCGCCCCGGCTGTGCCAAACGGGTCCGTCCACCCCAGGTGGTCCCAGTACGTGACGTGGTAGTCGAGGACGAGGATGTTCGGGTCGCCCAGCGTCAGCAGCGACAGGAGGAGCGTGTTGGTCGGCGGACACGAGTTGCAGCCCTGCGACTGGAACGCTTCGACGATGATCGGTCGGTTGGGCTTCGGCTTGTGTATGTGGATCGCACAGTCGCAGTCCTCGGGGTGAGGGTCGAAGATGGCATACGGTGGAGGTGCTGCCGGTTCCTCCTCCTCAGGATCTATCGGCGGTGCAGCGTCCCATCGTGTCCTTGGAGCTTGCTGGGTCTGAGGCGTCTGTTGTGGTCGCTCGTCTTCGTCGTCGTCAAAGCAGCACAAGAACTTCCTCAAGAAGTTTCTTGGCCTCGTAGCGTTGCTGGAAGTCATTGTGTGGAATTTTCTTGAAAGTGGCGAGGACGGGTTTTTTTTGGAGCAGATGTCGAATATCGCAGGTATAGACCACAAGGGATATAGTTTCTCTTATGAAGAATCAACGTTTGCAATCAGTGACACAGCCATGATGAAATATTTCATCGTCGCAGGGAGGCGGAGTGTTTCTGAACACAAAGTCTCTTGGCCAGAGATCATGCGGTAAGAACAAAACAATTGCTCGGCCATGGCTGATTTGATATTATTGAAAGCCACGTTGACACCAGCTCCGATGGTTCCGTGGCCGGGCGGAAAGAACCATCAGTTGATTGCTCTGCGTTTCTGCCATTATGGATGCTTGTTTGCTCCGGTGTCCCTTTGGCCTGGTTGTAGAAATTGCGGCAGGGCAGCTAGCGAGCTGAACGAGGCTTAGATCTGACAATGTTTCCATCATCAAGATCCACTCGGCGAGAAGCTGATGGGCGTTGGCGATCAGCCAATCAAGCCATATTGCGGGGACGGCTGAGCCAGTAATCTCGCTTCTCCCTGTCTTTGCGATGTCTCTTTCCTGAACCTTGTTAAATACCAAGCATGTATCTTGGTGGACTTGAGGTGGAGTGGGTGTATCGAGTATAGGTGCCGCCGCCGCAAATGGCAGATATCGGATGCACCAACGAGTGACCTGCATAAAAACTCACACATCCCTTGAAGACATCTCTCACAGCAGAAAACGAGGCCTGCTACGCCTGAGTTGTATGATGAGATATGTCCAAAGAAGGGCTGTGGTGCCGGGTTTCCGGAAGTGGTCAAAGCACATACAGAGCAAGTCGTTGGGACCGAGACTCTGCATATTGAGCCTACTCAGGAACCAGACTCTCTACCGGAGCATGTTGTCACCCAAGACCACAGGAACGTCGTCGCAAGCCTTTTTCGTCATCCAGCCTTGGTCGTTGATGTGTGTGCGTGTACGTTGGTCCATGTTTGGAGGAATTCTCGCCAACATTCCAGCCTTGACATCGCTACGCTTTGTGCTGGGAAGCACCGGCCCTCCACCCATTGTTCAAAGAATGTCGCCCCGGCTACCACAGGAATGTCTCTTTTGTTTGACAAACGGTCCGAAAACAGAAAGCCCTGGGGAACTATCAGGTGGCTCACCTTCTTCAAAGTAAATCAACGAAGCATTTGAGTTCGGGTCTCTGAAATTTCCCGCAGAGCGCAGAAGACGACTTCTTGCATGGTACAGTCACGGCTGTCGTCGTCGCCTTTCCCTCTGTCTCTGACTGACCGACTGACACTTGAGCGTTGTTCGTCATGAAGCTCTTCATCGTCCTCCTTCATTTCCTTTGTCTGGGCCTTGTGGATGCCATCAGTGTACAGGAAATCCCTCAGTGTGCAGTAGGTTTTGTTACCTCGATGGCAGATTGGGAGTGTTGACAGAGTGAAATAACAGCAAGGATGTCTCTCGAATTCGACCTCTGCTCAGAAATCATGTTCGGTCATCGATATCGCCTGCCTTTGTTCGAGTTCCGCATATGTCAGCGCATTATCTTGTTGCCTGTACACGCAGTGTAATTCCGACGAGCAAGCATGTACGTGAGAGTCGTGCGTGGTGCGCTGCGAAATATACAGACTTCTGACAACGGGTAATAGTGGCTATCCAGTTCAACAAGCAGGAGTGTACTGCTGTCAACGAGACCGCGCCAGATTTTGTGGGATGTTCCCCAGCAGGACTTTCAAGTGCGCTCGCCAGCATGAGTCTCACGCCACCTGCAGCAGCTCCATCAACTCAGCCAGCTTCGACGTCTTCTTCCTCGAGCAATCCGAGCATCTCAACCATCTCGGGTGAGCCAGTGTCGGAAACGCCAGAGCCGACAGCTGGGAAACCGATAACGGCAGCAAGTTTTGTTGGAGCACCGCTGATGACGGGCAGCTGCACGGTGCCGTACTTCGCGATAGCCACAGACGCTGCTGGCCGAGTGACGGAGTATCCCAACGTCGGCTGTTCTCCTGACCGACCAGATTGTTGTGCATATGAGTACGGACTCAATGCACTCATCACGAGATGCCCGCAGGACTATTTCACAACCGCCAGCGCCTGTTGTCCACTGTAAGTACTCTCCCTCCCCGGTCTTAACGAGTCCGCAAGGCTAAATGAGTGTCAGTGGGTATCAGATATATTACACCGCGGTTGGGCAGGATACTCCCTGTTATTCGGTGCCTGCCACGACATTAGTCCCTGCATCCACTCCCGCAATAGCCGGTCTGACGCTGATCACCGACCACGTCTTCTCGCAAAAGTATTCGCTCGTGACGCAACAGCAGGCGAAGAACAAGTTTCCCCCTGGAGCGAAGATTGCCATTCCCGTGTCCATTTGGGTGGTAATATGTATAGTGTGTCTCGCGACCTTCTTCTGGGTTCGGCGAAGACGCAAGGCCAGGCGGGCTGCAGAAGCCAACCGCACAACGACATTCCCGCCCGAAGAGCCTGTTCTGTCTCAAATGTCGATGTCGAGGGCGCCGACCGCGCACGAGCTCGACAGCCCAGAAGGTCAAACAGGATCTCCTGGAGCCGTGGGGGTTGCGAACGGGTGGCCCATCTTCCCCTCCTCGTCGCCGCCTGCATATGACCCGAACGCAGCAGGTCCGGTCGCCCTCCAGAAGCAACCGCCATCGATGCCACAGGAGCTGCCCGGCAGCACATTCATCCACGAGCATCATCCGGTGTTTTCGCCCACCGGCTCAGTAAGCGCACCCACCGAAGCAACACCTGGCTCCCCGCCAGGGACACCCGTGCAAGCCGCTGCGACAGGCACTGAGAAGAGATCACCAGTGCTGTCGAGCGTCACATCACGATCGGATGCTCAAAGTCCGGTATTCGTGTCGCCACTGAGCTCTCCAAGGTTACCCAAGACAGGATGAAGGAGACAAAGGCTGTAGATATCTTGTATTTCTCAATTGGAGTTTTCATTTGCTCGGGCATTTTTAGAGCACCGGTCGAGTAGGGTATTTGGGATTTGAGCTACGACGGTGCTATAATTGTGAAGGTGCGAAAAGATTCAAAGGAAAAATTGAATGGTATACAATGTATGTGACCTCGGTGCAAGGTCACGTCAGACCGAGTGTTTCTGCTTCTGTGCTCTGTATCAGAGGTTCCTGTCAGACCAAAAGTGACATCAGTGCTGGGTAAGGGAGACAGACATGTCGGAGTGCGTGCACATCCATTGTGCACAAAACTATATTAGTATCCCTATTATCAGACACGTGCCCTGCCTCTTTCGGCTGTCTTGACGAGTGCCATAGGTGACATATAATCTATCCCGTATTTCTACCATATACATCATACTTATAGTACAGAGGCACCTACCTGCCCGAGAATCTCTGCCAGGAACAAAGCACGAAGTATAGCCACCTCTCTGTATTCCTTGAATTCAATATGCTCGACGTGCCAGCTGAATTACAAACAGCACATCATCCTGTAGAGGTACAGAGGACAACCCTTTGAATTTCACGATAAGAGAGTCATTTTTACTCGCTAATTAAATCCACGACGAAGACCGACATATTCAATGTCATCTATCACTGACCCGTGACACGCCTTCCTTCTCTCCGCCTCTTCCACCTGTCCCAGGTGGTAGCAGCACGTCAGGCAGCTTAATCCCTAAGCTGCCTTTGGAGCCAACCTCCTTCTCCTTCTTGGGTTGTGACTTGTTTCCTCGCCCATTATCTCCGTTGTCAGTGTCGTCATCCTCGCGAAGCTCCACCTCGATCTTTTTCAACTTCTCCCCGCGTAGAATCTTCATAATTTCCTCCCGGTCTAGTGTTTCGTATTCCAAAAGTGCATCTTTTAAGGCTTCGAGTTCTTTCCGCTTCTCTTTGACAATTCGATCCGCTCGTTCTCGACCGCCTTCCACAATCTGCCGCACTTCTCGTTCGATTTCCTGTTTCGTCTCGCTCGATAGCTTGTCATAGTCGGAAGCAAGATCGACGTTTCCCAACTTGGGGGAATACCCGCACTGGGTGACAAGATAAAATGCGGTCCGAGTGGCTTGCTGAACATCGTGCGAGATACCGCTGGTCACCTTGTTTGGACCATATATCAATTCTTCAGCGGCTCGACCGCCCATTGAGACATCAATCGAAGCGATGAATTGATCGTAACCTCGGCTCACTTCGTCCATTTCAGGGAGAAAGTGAGTGACACCAAGTGCTTGACCACGTGGGATGATGGTCACTTTGTACAGTTGATTGCTGGCCGGAGTAAACAAATTGACCAAAGTGTGGCCAGCTTCGTGATAAGCGGTCTGAATCTTGTCCTTTTCTCGAATCATGCGGGATTTGGCTTCAGCCCCCATCATGATCTTGTCCTTGGCCCACTCAAAGTTCATGGCTGTGATTTTCTTGTACTTCAACCGTGAAGCATGAACTGCAGCTTGGTTGCAAAGATTCTCCAAGTCGGCGCCAGACATACCGCTGGTAGCGCGTGCAAGATTGGTCGCATCCACATCAGCTGCGATGGGCATATTTCTCATATGGTGCTTGAGGATCTGTATCCGACCGCGAACATCGGGCAGAGGCACATTGACATGTCGGTCGAATCGTCCCGGTCGAATGAGCGCCTTATCCAGAGACTCCGGATAGTTGGTCGCGGCGATGAGAATAACACCGGTGCTCGGGCTAAATCCATCCAATTCCGTCAAGAGTTGGTTGAGTGTCTGTTTCGCATAAGCAGGGTCACGTGCATTCCGCTTGCCGCCAACGGCATCCAATTCGTCAATAAAGATGATCGAAGGCGCCTTGTTGCGGGCTTGAGTGAAGAGGTCCCGAACTCGTTTAGCACCGACTCCGACATAAAGTTCGTCGAATTCGGAGCCAGACATGTAGAACACCGGCACACCAGCCTCACCTGCAACGGCACGCGCAAGCATCGTTTTGCCAGTACCAGGTGGGCCCACCAAAAGAACACCCTTGGGGGGCTTGCCTCCTAGTTGATTGAACTTCTCCGGGTTCTTCAAGAATTCGACCAACTCTTGAAGTTCCTCTTTGGCCTCATCGCAACCATGCACATCGCTGAAGCGAACGGTCTGATGTTGGGGTTGTACCTCGTTGTTTTGTCCAACCCTCGTCCGGAAACTACCAGTCATCTCCACGACCATGGTCAGGACCACCAAGAGGAAGTAGCCAGACAAGCCGACCCAGAGAAACGTTCGAACCCACTTCAGGATGGTTGCACCCCATGACTCTTCAACCACCACATAAAGCGGCGCTTCTTTGGCACCTGTACCAGATTTGTTGCTCGGCATGATCACTTGTCCACCATAGTTCTGTCCAGCAACCGCCTGGCCTACGGCCCTTAGCTTGTCTGCACTGAGCCCATTTCCCTGTGTGCCAGTAACATTGGAACCGGGCGTGCCTGGGGCGGGCACCGAGCCGGTCATCTGTAGAGCTTTGAGATATGCCGCATCCGTTGCGGGATTGGTGGCATATCGACCTGACTGATATCTTTCTATGACGAGCTTGGGCATGTTTGCACGGAGGAGGGCGGAATAGAATGCATTTTGGGCGGTGGCACTAGTAGGGTTGTTGTTCGCAGTACGTTCGGCGTGGGCCAACATGTTTTGGTTGGCAAGCGGGGAGGTCGTTGAGAATTGTCGATATTGCTTGTTCACGTTTGAGTTATTTCCTCGCCGTGGGGGACCAAACACTAAAGAAGTGAATGAAGACTGTGTCAAAGGTGATCTTATCGAGCGTTTTCCCGAGGCGGCACTTGGTGAGGCATTGGGAACTCTGGTCGACAAATCCCGGCGCAGGGTCGGTGCCAAGTTCAAACGAGAGGTAACTGATGAGGAAAGGGTTCGAGACATCCAGGGTATTGTTCGGCGAGGATTTAGGTTGAGCGTTTGCGATGGGGTACTGTTGCTCGGAAGGGAGGCGAGGAAATCTGGGAGAACGACATTCGAAGAAAGCTGCGAGGCGTTAGGAACATTCCCATCTCGCAGAACATTTTTTGGTACCGTTGACTGCCCTACATTTTTCCCAGCCGAGTGTATCTGCCGCGAACCCGATACATCTCCTTCGGTGCGCAGCCGCGCCAGGCGATAGCGTCGGAGAGTTTGAAGCGGCGAAGTAAAGAGCGAGGGCAGCGTCGTAAAGACATCTGGAGCAATTGCAGAGAGGCTCTAAGGCAGCGCAACAGTCAGCGGGACGACGAGTCTCTGTGAGACGGCCAGTATACTCACAGGCAACTGGGAGAGGGGAGCCTGTAAAGCCATGATCGGGACTGGCGGCGGCGGCAGGCCGCTGAAGAAACACGAAAAAGAAACCTTTAGTAAGAAGACAAACGGTATGAAGGAAAAAGAACAGCTCGAAGAAAGAGACTATCTAAGGAAATAATGGTGATCTTGACTTGCCACGCCTTGGGCTCTTTGAGAGAGGGAGGTTTGGCAGGCTGGCTGGCGGGCGATGGATGGTGATGGGGGAGATGGAAGCGCAGAGACCAGATGATGAGCAGCTTCCGACTTGCCCCATCGTTCGCCACCCAGGCAAACCTCGACACGTGACATCAAACGTCGACATCTAGTGCCAAGTCTGCGCCTCCGCCTCCACCGCCGCAACTGGCCTGCGCCACACCCGATATCTCAACGTCCAAGTAACTTGCTATCAGATGCGTTTCACATCCACTCCAGCGCCATGCAGCACACATTGATACCACCTTTCTGGAGCTCGAGCACAATGGAAGGCTCGGACTGTCCTTTTTCGAAGCTAATCTCATGCCCTTCTTTGAGGTCTTCCAGACTGACTATTCGACTTTCAGAATATCTACTCATTTCGTTGTGCCTCTTCAAGGTGAGCACCCCTACAGAAGGTGGCTCTATCTCCGCGTTGATATGGATATGCGGCAAGTCAATCGCTTGTGGCCTACCAGGATGAAGGTGAAAGATTCCTGTGGAGAGATCCGACGCGCTTGAGCTTGTACTCCGACGTCCGTTGCTACGGCTGTCGGTTTCAGGCCCTGGATCGCTAGGTTTACCGGCCTCGTCAACGACTTCGGACTCGGTTGTATGATCTGACTGTCTTGGTGTTGTGGATCCGTCCACCAGTGATTCCCATTCGCTGTCTTCTAACCCTGGAACAGCTGGTGAGGCCGAAGATTGGGAAGCATTAGTGCAAGGAACGCTGGTCCCAACCGCTGTAGGGACTGTGGCAACAGCCCTATCGATGCTTGTTGGCTGATCTGATCTCAAGCTTGGGATTGTTGATGCAGGTGAAAAGTTGGGAAGACTCATCAGGTTGTGTCTGCTGGTCAGAGGATACGGACGCTGTGGATGCGTTGTCCTACCGAGCTGGGTGCATTTGCGGTGCATTCCTTGTATGATGGCTCTCAGTATCCTGATGTTTTCGGCGCTATACTCTGTAAGGTCTGGAATAGTCCACTGATCGTACAAACGCCCATGCCATGCCGATACACTGAAAACCTTGTGCTCAGAAATAAAGAGATGGCAGAGAAAACACGCCGCTTTGCTTGTACCGATTATTCGGGGCATGATCGATGATGAGTTGAGAATATGATGAATGACCATTTGTACTTCTGCATGCACGTGGCAATTGACCATCCTCCCCGAAACTGATATAGGGCTTTGTACTGGTAGGTACGGATCAATGAACTCGAGCCTGATACTAGAGAAAAGTGGTCTCGTCCTTCTTCGACGTGCTTCCCGGGATAGAGTCTCAGGGATTCTGTGATAGGCTCCGAGTTTATCGATTTGCATGATGAATTTATTGTTAAACCATACAGATGAGTCGAATCCAGCCTCGTGTAAAGTGGTCTGGAATGGCGTATAGCCATTGGAAGTGGTGATAGAGAAGCATTCAGAAAGACATTCCTCCAGCTCGCGACCTGCCTGTAGGTTGTCTGATTGTAGGATATTTTGGAATCTTGCTTTTAGTTTGGATATTCGGTTCACCAGATTTACGGCGACTGGTGTAGAAGCCACGGCTCGCAACCGCTTTATAGTATTCTCCAGGCGAAGGCTCGATGTCGTGGCCGCTCCACGACAGTGAGAAGGTTTATGACCAAGGAAAAGCCGTATTCGCGAGATGATTCGCCCACGGGAGAGTGTAAGTACTAACATTCTGGTCGTTGAAATACAGTCTGCAAGCGAAATGTCTTCTGAAAAGTCAGCACAGCGACACAGTGGGCTTCCACCAAGTGGATTTTATGCCTACCATTCGATGCACAAGACATTAGAGAATCGCAAATCTGCCGCAAGACAGTTCTGTCCTCTTCACCGATTCCGTCGTTTGCGGCAACACGAAAGATAAGGCCCAAAGGTTCACGAAGCTCCTCGATACATACCGCCGCCACGCTTTCCACTCCTTCTTGAGCAGCTGATATGAACGCAAAGTCATCGGCTAGTTGTCGCTCAGTATGATAAGGCAGTGATCGACAAGTAGTAGAAGATGAGGGAGAATCTCTGTCGGCAGCAGCCAGCCACCAGGATTTTGGTTCTGCTGGAACGCCATCGGTGAATTTGGAAAGTGCAATGACGGTTCGACGAAAAGCATCTTCTGGGAGACCTTTCCATATAGAGGATTCTGGATTGGACGTCCGGACAGGCTTCAAGATCCGCATTATAAAAACAATATCATTTCAAAGACTGTACTCGATGAATATTTCAACATAAGGTCAGAGAAATTCGCAGATGAGGCTGTAACTCGATTTCCTATGAATGCTTCTTCAACCAGTCAGGAATTGCCAGCTGGCGCGGCCAATTGGCGAGCGGCATCATTCTGATCAGACTATTGGACAGATAAATCATTACGATTGATGCAAGATTGTCAGTCTTGCACTGCAATTCACGGGAAGTCTGCGGGAGTGAAGCGTTTTTGCTATATTGCAAGAGTCACAGGAGGCTGATGCTAGCAGCTAAAGAGGTTTGTTTCGGCCCAGCTTGGTTAGAGCCAATTTTAGACCCGTTCAACTCCCAAACCCACCTAATGAATTATTACTCAAAGCGCACCAACCGTGCCGAGTAAGGGAAGGTCGAGTTCCAGGGTGCGGGTGGGTACAAGGCAGGTACCGAGTACGAGTCCACGCAATACCACAATTACGTCCCCATCTGCGGTCTGTGCCAACTTTTCGACAACCCAAGCGCTGTGTGGCTGCGCAATACCTCAACAGAAGCTCGCAGGCGACGCAACTCTCGTTCTTGTATCTAAGCGACCGCCTTCCACTCCTTTCGAGTCTCCCTGACTTTCTTACTGCGCATCTATCATTTGCAAACTGTGTCCTTGCTTGTGACATCGCTCAACAACCTTCATGCAAACGCCGAAGCGATCCCAAAACTGCAGCGTCCCATGAGTTGAAAACCGCCTCAAGTCCTACGAGTCTCTACGAGCATTACTCCCTTCCATATCTGAGCGTCTTCAAGTTCTGCCATCATGCCACACCGTCATATATCCAACCTTCGCCAATGGCTCCTCTCCTCGCCGCCCGCAGAATGGGCCCTCAATCAACTGCGTGAACTCCTAATCGGTGCTCTCCGCCAGGGCCCTGTGCCTAAACATGTTGCGTTTGTCATGGATGGGAATAGACGATTTGCAAAGAATAACAGGATCGAGACTGTTGAAGGACATAACTTGGGTTTTGAGGCATTGGCAAAGGTATGACAGATGATCATGGAGGCCTAGAGGCCCTTCAGTCTGTGAACCGGGTCTCTATCGGGTGCTACACCAATGCTGATCATGCTATGATGATAGATCCTGGAAGTGTGCTATAAATCTGGCGTGCACACCGTAACGATATACGCCTTCAGCATCGAGAATTTCAAGCGCAGCAAATACGAGGTTGATGCCTTAATGTCCATGGCTAAAATCAAGCTAAAGCAGCTCGTTCAACACGGCGAGCTGTTGGATCGATACGGTGCGAGGATACGAATATTAGGCCAACGAGAGTTAATCAAGCCGGATGTCCTCGAGGCGGTGGATAAAGCAGTCGAAATGACCAGCAGGAATGAGGGGAACTGTGTCCTGAACGTCTGTTTCCCCTATACCTCGAGAGAAGAAATCACGAGTGCGATTCAGAGCACGGTGGAGGAATGGACAACGCCATTGCCAGAGGATATCCACGGCAAGGGGAGAAACAGCACTTTTAAGGAGGAGAGAATAGCGAGCACCATTTGGTCCGAACAGTTTTCACAACACACAGCATCGACATCGACCACATCGAGAACATATTTGTCGCCCACTGGGGCGGATAAGCGATCACCTTCATCGAGCACCACGAGCTTGTCATCTTATTCGCCCGACCAGTCTGATCGTGACCACGACGCCTCGTCAGTGTCAACCGCAACAACCCTTCACCACGATGATAACAACACGTCGCCCTCACCACCACTGCGCCCACTAACGACATCTCAAAAGTCGACTCAGCAGACTCCACAGTATCCATCGCCTGAGCTAATCACTCCGGCGACAATCACCTCGCACACATATACAGCCAGTTGCCCACCCATTGACCTGCTCATCCGCACATCGGGGGTGTCGCGGCTCAGCGACTTTATGCTCTGGCAATGCCACGAGTCGACGCAGATTGTATTTCTGGACGTGCTGTGGCCCGACTTCGACTTATGGTCATTCCTGCCTGTGCTGTGGGAGTGGCAGTGGCGCAAACGGCGCGAGCAGAGAGATGCCCAAGAAAGCGAAGGACGGGCAGAAGACAAGAGGAGAGGGAAATCATCTAGCGCCAGTAAAGCGAGGAAAGCTAATGGTATGGTTCAGGTTCAAGTTTCGTGAGGGAAACGATGTTGGAAACCGTACAGGCCATACGGCGGAGCAGAAATGAGCTTAAGAGAAAAAGGAGAGGGATAACGACCGGAATGGAATGAGCCTGTGTATATCCGATCCTATCCCATCGCAATGCCCATTCTGAAGCCGAAGACGCAGATGGATACGGGATCTGCTGACTCCTGTTTCGGACATGGAGCAGCAATTCGCCCTCCGAAGGACCAGTTTTCTCGAACCTCGGACCCCAACACCTGGCATCTTTCATCCAGACCACTTGTCGCACTGATCCCCACTGGCCAGGTCGCCTGTCTCTCTCTTCAAGTACCATCTTTCCAGGGTACCTCCCTCTCACCATCTCCACCCTCCCCTCCCACGCTCCAATGCCACAAGGCCATGTATCACATGCATCACATGCTTCATATGTATGCATGCATGCATGTACGTCCGAGCGTTTGAAAGTTTTCGAGTAGAGGAAATTAGATCCGCG